AAAACATGAACACACCCACAGACATTCACAGACAGCACACATACAGTCACACACAGCCACAGACAGCTACATAGACATCCATGGATGTCTGTGCTGCTGTCTGTGTGCTGTCTGTGGGTGTCTTCATGTTTTACTATTACCCCTATATTAACACCACAGTACAGATGTGCAGCGTAACTGTTTACGGAGCCCTGGCCCTACCCTACCCTTTGAAACTTAGAGAATTTTTCATTTACAATTATTTCTTTAGTTTTTTGTTATTTCTTTGTTCTTTTTATATTGCCAATTGCACCAAAAATGGGTGTCTTGCATCCGATAAAATAAAGAGTTTAAAATAACTATCGCTAGCGACCGATCTCAATGTGTATCGACGATATATCTCTTTTAGACGAAGCCCTGATCCTACCCTACCCTGTGACTTTGACGCCCAAGCTCTACCCTAGCCTGCAGGGTAGGGTAAGGGCGCCCTGCACATCTGTACACCACAGTATACTTCTAATATTTTGAATGTCTTTCTGAATTCATCACCCAGAGGCACTGGTGTCAGTCGACACTTGCTGGGCACGGATGCCAGTCAGTGCCAGTGATCGATGGCATGCCATGCGTACGGTGCTTACTGGCAGTGCTGCGCTGGAATTTTTTTTTTTATAAAAAGGCTTTTAAAGAAAGGAGCACGAGCGAGGCGCTGAATAAACTGTTGAACCAGACACAATATAAATGAGTTTGTTTGTTTGACACTTTAAATGTAATTCAGTGCGCTCTATGGATGAGTGAGTGACTGGTGCTATGTTCGGCTGCTACTCGGTGTTCATACGTCCGAGGTCGACAGTGTTTTCTTTCTATTCACTTTTCGGCAGACGTCGAAAAACGATTCGTTTTTCCGTTGAATGTTACTGACTTTTTTATCAGAGAACAAATAATAGGAGGATTATCGCTGTTGTCGCTAAATGTAAGTACCTGTTGAAACGAGGATCTAGTTATCCTTATCTGGTTAACGGATGTTTCAAGCAATTTTGTTATCATGAGAAATGTGCAAGCTGCTCCGAATATGAACTAACGAACAGCCGAATTTTCCTCGATTAAGATCTTAGTAGAAGGACCGAAGAAGGATCATACTTAAATCCTGTTCTTTCATACCAAGGTTCTATTCCAATCCTAACAGAATTCCAGGATCTGAGTTACTTCCGCTAGTTAATACATTGGTAAAAGAATGTATAAATAAATATATTCTTCATCATGTGGGCTCGGCATTTAGAATGTTGGATTATTAAGAGCAGCTATTTTAGCATAAATATTAGCACGCAGAACTCAAACTGTTCGTGTTCTTGCTTGCTTAAAATATAATTCTTTCTTGTTATAACAATTTGAAATAATGGCTAAACAATGAAAATGGACGCAGAAAACTTTTGTTGAAATTGCTGTTGTCGCACAATAGATTCAAAAGTTTTTTATCAGACAATGAGAAATGTGTACATCAAAAGTTATAAGTAGTCCCACTGAGAAGTGTAGTCATGTTAAAATTGAAGCTATCACTGTAGAGTTGTGCATGATTATTCTTGAAATTAATTCTGTACATATATACCAATTTATTAGAGGAACAAACTGACGAAGTAAAAATAGTTTGTGAGTTGTCATTCGAGAAATACAGAGAATTTGGTATGCGTGACACATTTCTCTTCTACAAGAGAATTTATACTAAAATTAAACCTATTCTTGTATGGCTCCCTATAAATCTTTTTCAATGAAACTTCGTCTATATTCATTGACTTTTGAGGAGAATAAATCATAACCCACTCGAGATGTGTAAACCACTTCTTTTTTTATTCTTGAGGACTCTAAGAACTCATAATTGAAAAGTGTGCCAATTGTTTTTTTTATCAATGATAACCTTTTTGCTTTCTTTATTGCGTTTGTGTACGAATTTTTTTTATTCTATTGTTGCTCGCAGTATGTGTTTATATAAAACACAATTTTATAATAAATCAAATAAAGACTTTGTCGAAAAAAAACGAAAGCGGTGATGAAGACCTGTGAAGCTTAGTCGATTTCGACGCAATTTACATAAGTTTGTAAAACAAATATGGAAAATGTATTGGTACTAGAAAATATAATATACTTTTGAAGAAAATTCTTCGATATGCTATCTGAAGTTTCGAAATCTTTAGCTCTGATTAGGCATGCACTAATTCCAAGCAATCACGTATAAAGTTCAGTATTTTGTATGATCAAGAGTCTCCAGTTCTCTACTACTTCATCTCCTCTATCTGTTCGTGGAACTGAAACTGTTAAATCACCCAAAAAATCCGTTAGAATTAGTTAAATGGTTGTAAATTTCACCAACTCTAACGGCTTTTTCGGCTGATTTAACAGTTTCAGTTCCACGAACAGACAGAGGAGATGAAACTGGATTTTTCTTGTAGTAAAACTCGGTGAGAATTGGGGACTCTTGATCGTGAAAAATACTGAACTTTATACGTGGTTGCTTGGAATTGATGCATGCCTAGCTCTAGCAGAGATCAGAAAATGAGATATTATGAATGACACATTCTCTGTGTAGTCGTTAGAAAACAAAACATTTAGATTATATGTAATTTTGAAAGTATGACACTTCATATTTTTTTTTCTTTATTTTTTGTCCAAAGATGTATGAAAAAGGAACTAAAACTATTTGCTTGATTTAGAACAGAATGCAGATCGACAATCAAAAGCTGACTGTATTTATTAGTGACTAATTTCATTGAAATTGTTTCTATCTTAAAAAAAGGAACAGACAAAAAAAAGTACGTAAATCAACCAGCTAACAAAACATTACATTTGAATAAATGCAAGAAATGTCCTATATACATAGTACTTGATTCTTCGCATTAAAAAGCGTACAATACTTGAATAAAAAGAAATATAACTAATACGCAACAGACTTTTCTTTCTTTTACAAACCTTGTGTACCATATAAAAATTCGATTACTAGTTTTCTGCCGATATGCAAGCTATGCATCATCGCTTCAGTTGAAGACAAACGAAGTCGTTTTTTTAATATTATTGCATTGATTATTTACAACGCTAACTCTCACAATGAACATCTCAAACTATCAAAACAATTAACCATTCTCTCTTGGCTAAACATATGTCGGGTTCTTCAACAAAAAACTTTTTTACCGATGGTTATGCGCACTGATACGGATTACAACGAGAAAAGACTGCATCGACGCAAATCGCTATTTTGTTTTGTCAATGTCTACCTATATAAACATATATTACAGTATACTTATAATATGTCTGATGCATTTTGACTTAATATTTTCTTTCTCATATGAATATCTCAGTACTGAGTAGAGCCCGAAACGAACCGAATGATTCAGCATTTAATTCAATTTGACCTTTTGCCGAATCGAATCGAATTTGATTCCAGAAATGTTGAGTCGCATCGAATCGACCAGAATTTGTACACAGACACTTTTTTCGTTTGTTTTTGCTTTATAGTCAGTGTCTATATGATGGCATGTGCTTCAGAATTCGAAACAAATCGATTTAGGATCCAAAAATGTTATCCCGAATCGACTGCGATAAAAAAACCTAGTAACAGATAAATATAAATTTTCAATGCGGCACTTTTTATGCAACAAAAAATTAATAATAGTATGGCATTAATTTGACTCAGTAGAATTTGCATTTTTTGAGGCGGTGCACACCGAAGCCAATAACTGATAGTATACTGCAGCACTGGAATTGTTTTGTAGTCAGAAATGCACGTAGTGTATGGATAGGAGCCACCATTTTCAACATTCTATTTCCTTTGTTGTGCCAAAAAAAACTTGAGAAAGAAACATTAAACTTTCATCATTCTTCCTTATTTATTCTATCAAACTAAGATATTTCTTTTTAAATTAAAATGACTTTATTATTATTTTTACAAAGAGACCATTAATAGTGATGCGGAAAGAATATACAAACAACAAAAACTTGAACTGCTTTTTTTCTCTTTAGAGTAAACACAAACGGATGTTGTTTGTTTGCTTTTACGGAAATACACACACACACACACACATTACACACAGTGAGAGAAGACGAAAAAGTTCATTTTTTAAAAATTCCTTGTTTTTTGCTTGATGTTGTTGTTGGAATTTATTTATGTTGGTTTATTAGCACTTGCTTTTGCGTCATGGACTTTTTCTTCCACCTTGTCACCAACAGCAGATGCTCCAGCCTTTACACGTTCACCTACTGGTTTATCCGAATCTTTGGCTGTTTCTTTGTTGACATCACTGCTCAATCCAGCTACTGCTCCTAGAATTATGCAAAAAAACAGTTACTTCAGAAAATTGAAGACTATTGTTTATACAATTTATTACCTTGAACTGTTTCTGCAACATAATTATATGCATCTTTTGCTTTTTCAACAACTGTTTCAAGAACAGTATGAGCTAAACAGAGTAAACAAAACGTTTCGCGAAACTGAGAACAGATGATCCTTTTTAATTGAGGGAAAAAAGCATTTTTTGATTCCTTTCAAAACCTCGTACTTTAGTAACGATAAGCTAAGAATGGGTTACTCTCCGATCATTCTATAGACAAGTTAATTCAAATCATGTATTTTTCTTTGCTTTGGCTAAGATTCTTCATGTCAGAACTCTATCAATATGCTACTATGTAGAATTAACTACTAACTAGGTTAATTGAAAGGAATAATTCAAAAACTAGAAGAATGTCAACATTTTCGAGAACCTATTTAAGAAAAAAATACGAAACAATTGATTTCAGAATCTTACCTTCTTCTTTATGTCCTTCTTTCGATGCTTCATGACTTTTTTCTGCAAATCAAAGTATTTTTAAGTAACAGTGAACATTGACGAATTCTATTATCCTCCTCTACATACCGTTTACTTTGTCGTTAGCAGCATTAACACCTAAATATTATAGAAAATCATCGAAAGTACATAACAAAACCATTCAAAAACCTAATTAAACTTACCATGCGATACTCGATCACCGACTGATCGATCGGAATCTTTTGCAGCCGATTTATTAGCTTCATACGACGCTCCTGATGTTACTTCCTTTACTTTGTCTGTAACTGCACCTGCGGCATCTTTAGCTTTTTCTGTAAGGTCTGACATGATTATACTAAGTAATGCTATATACGAATAGAGTAGAGTAGAAAAAAGAACTGAAAGTATGTAGACGTGTTAACTTGACTTGATTCAACGAAGAAATGATCTGTTGAGAGTGAAGAATGAGTGTGATCACATCTTGAGTGATAAGACAGAAATAATGTAATGTGTAGAATAATGAAACGTTTATGCATTGAGTTTGGTGAACATCAGAATTAAAGGAAAAAAGTCAACGGTTGACTGGAAGACAGAAAATACTAAGTAACGTAGATTGAAAGTTCAAGGGGTCAAACAGGTTGAAAACGGTAAAATTTAATCGACTTTTTATTTTAAATCCAAGAATCAGGTGAAAGATTTTCCTTGCTGAGTATCAGAGGGCCATATAACGAAGTTGGATATAAGCCTCCAGCACTAACTTAGGTCTTTGAACTTGAGTTGTACCGTATTACAAAAAAACTTAGATCAAAGGGTGACTTAAGTCATGGGAAATGTAGTCTTAAAGTTCAGACCAAAACTTAAGTCGGACTCAAGTCATTGACGCATTTTTCGAATAGCTCAGGCATTTACCGATACGATTCGACGAAAACGACCTTTTAAGGTTTAGAGAATAAATATTTCGTTATTTTGCGGAGTTTTGTCCCAAGTTTGTCACTGTTGTCAACGACTTTCAAAAAGTAAACAAATCATCAACTTTATTCTTTTCGTAATACGGTTTAAGTCGGTCTTAAACTTAGACATAAATCACAACTTAAGCAAATGACTAAAGTTTTGTGGTGATACGACTCCAGAGCTTCTCTCATACCGGATAAAGATACAGTCGGATCGAGCGGATCAAATAATCTTCAGGTTAGGATGGCAGATTTCTGTAATTTTTTAAATTTTTTCTTTGTTCCTTGGAATGTTATTCATTCTGTTCCATTATTTTATGTAGAACTGTTTCTATCAACTACTCTTTTTTGTTCTTGTTGAATCAATATCTGATAGGTAAATCTAACATAGCGACAAGCACACATTAATCTAAAGTGGTTTAAAAAACCAGCAGCTAGTGAAAAAACGTACGATTTATCTGTTTTCTCTTCTGCGCGAACAAGAATTCTACAGTGGGTACGTTACTGTGCTTTTACAAATATTCTCTGCTCATCAAGACCATCTGAGTTTTACCTGAAAATTTTTAGAAAATGTTCAAGTATGTTCAGAATTTGATTCAATCATCACTTATAGATAAAATTCAGCACAGAATCACGTATTTCAAGATTGGAAAAAAATGCTCAAACATAAAGTAATAACGAGTCCGGCGGACTAGGGCGAAATTTGATATGAAAGTGCAAAACTGCCACGAACATGATTATAAATCATAGACTAATTTATTGTAATATTTCGGTAGATCGCTCCTATCACCATCAGACAATAGACGTTTTATAAAGTGTCAAAAAGAAACTTTAGTGTATATATATACATCCGAAAGAAGCTTCTTTTGTGTTATTCCATGTGTTTTTCTTTCGTTTTACACTATTCGATATATATATATACCGTATATACACTAAAGTTTCTTTTTGACACTTTGTAAAACGTTTATTGTCTGCTGATGGTAGGAGCGACCTACCGAAATATCATAATAAATTAGTCTATGATTTATAATCATGTTCGTGGCAGTTTTGCACTTTCTCTATAAACTCTTGCGATTTTCAACTGCTCTCTCTCCAAATTTCATGAAATTTGATATGGTTCGCCAAAACTGTGACCCAAGAAATCCTGTTAAACATACTCGCATTCTAACGGATTTTTATGCGAGACTAAGCTCATTATTACTAACTGAATCAAGATCTACTTCTCTTCTCTTCAAATGTTGTTTGATATCACTAGATTCTTGCTATATTGTAAGTCCGCATCTGTGTAACTCGCAAATAGTATTTTTGGGCTAATCACCCAAGGTGAATCTCTACGGAACATTTCGAAATTTTTAAAAGAAAGACTAAAAGGGATCAGTTTAAAAGAAATTGAATACTAATGTCTCATTGTCAACCGGAACTATCAGAGAATGTAAACGTCAACTTTACTTTCCAGTGTGAGCTAAGATTTTGCAACGGTTGAAATTACACCGCAGCGATTCGTTTATATGTATGTCATGAATCGTTGAATGAACCGATACTATTCTTTGCATTTTCACGATTTATTATTTCCAATTTCGGTTGAACAAGAGGGTGGAATAATTTGTCGCAAAAGTAGTCGAATTTGTTAGTCGTCATAGAAATGTTATTTTTAGTATTTCTTCTCTTGTTCAAAAAGACTAACAATCATCGAGTTTCATTTGTTTTATGCAGCTTAGTCACTTGACTTTTCGCATGAGACGTGTTTTATCTACTCAGTTTAGTTAAAGAATATATATTTATCAGAAAAAAATAAAATTATGTCATTGCACACATTATAAGCTAACTTCTGCTCTCTTTGACTTTGGTAGTTACTCATAGAGTTCAACGAGAAGTTGGAGGGTTTTTTAACCAAATTCATGGTTATAATCATGCAAAGATTTTGTTTTAAAGATGAAATAAAATGGTGTCCTCTCAGTTCGTCCCAAACTGACTTCTCAATTCGTCCCATGAAGCTTTTTTTCTCAATTCGTTTCAGATATCTATGCTCGCGCCTCAAAATGTTGTACCATCGAACAGTTTAGACGGCGCCGGTAGGTATTGTAGACAATACTAGGTGCGCGTACGTGGCAAAATGTACCGTGTTAGCCACTACTATCATAAATTTAAATCTAAATAAGTTAAACAGTCTTGTTCATCAAAAATGTTAATTTTTCACGTCTACTGAAAAAGATAAACCAGTTTTGAATCATAATAGGTATCAATACACCAAAAAACGAGCAAAAAAAACAAATAATCAATGGCAGTGTCGGAATCGAACATGCTTAAGTACAATATCATTATGTACAGACGATGTGAGAAATTTACGGACTGAATTCGCACATACAGGCACAGTTCTTGCTGTTTGTCCAATATAACTGTTTATACACCCACAACAGTCATATTTATCATCGTACGCAAGAGGTACGGACAATTATATTAAAGCTAATTGTGTGTAAATTAATATGGGATGAACTGAGAAAAAAAGCTTCGTGGAACGAATTGAGAATTATCTAACTGTGTTTTAAAATTATTCTGAATGTTAACAGAGTTTCCATATCCGTTATTAAAATACAAATAATATTTTTTTTCAAATGCATATCCTTGTTCTGAATTATTTGTATTGTTTAATTCCGTTCTCAATACACTTTTAAAAATATATTTGCTATCATTGTTAATGAGTTCTGAAATGCACCAGTTCCTATTGGTCCCAAAAATAAATACATATTACTACCATCACCATGTGAATTTGATTGAATTGTGGCAATCATTGTTTGAAATTTTTTTCTGAGTATTTTCAATCAATTTCTGCTCATTTATTGAAAGCTTCATATAAGCGTTCTTCTGCTACAGATATATCATAACATGCTGTTAAAATCAAATCTGCTGAACGTTCTGGCTTATCATTTATGAAAAATCATATATTTTTAACTTATAAAGAACCCGAACTCCGGTGTTATGTATCCACTAGCGAAATATTTATATTTAAAATCCATTAAGGTACGATAGGCATCCGAATTATAACAAATTGCTTCTTCTTGAGTACGGGCATATTCGAAAAAAATAACCTTAAAAATAATAGAGTTTTTCGATTCATAATTCTTTGCCTCATAAATTTTCAACTTTTTGTAATAATCAAAATCTTGTGAACGATATTTTGAACAAAATTTGATATAATTTCTAGCATATTTATCCATGTATAATGATTCTATTTGTAACTCTCATTATGGCTCATCTTTATTTCTATCGCATATATCAAATTGTGATTTATAAATATCAACTTTTCGAATAGTTTCATAAACTTCTCGAACATCTGACCAGTTGATATTATGTTGTTTCCAATTTGTATTTGTTTTATTTTTATAAATGATATATTTTCAAAATATTTTAATATTGTCTTTCTTGCTGCAAATTGATCAACACGCTCGCTGTTTGAAGAAAATACAACAGTTATCATACTGCAAATATCGTTTTCACTTAATAATGAATATAGACATAGAACAGTGGATTTAGTTTTGCAGTTTACTGTAAAGCTAAGTTTATGTGTTCGAATCTTTATGCATACAAAACTGATTTTGTGTTTTTTGATGGTTTTAGTTTAGAATACTATAATCAAATATTTTTCCGCTTGTATTCCAGACAGAATAAATCGTATATCAAACTGGAATCGTTAATGGATGGTCAGTCATGCAGGTGAAAAGTGCATTTAATGAGTGAAATTAAGAATGTTTGTTTAATAAACAAACAAACATTTAGCATAAATAAACATAATTTCTACTATTAATATTAATCAGGTTCTAGTTAAAACTCACTCTTATTTTGATTTGCTCCTAACTCTTATTCGTTTTAGAAAATTTTTGTACAATCTAGGGGTAGAAAACTGAATGATTTTATCGTTATCAAGTCAAATGACACTTAAGATCGGAATATAGAAAAAATTTTGAGCGTATATGGATTCTGGAGTAAGAAAATTTCTGCTACTTTAACAGTATATATTTAATTCTTCAAAATTTTTGCTGAAAAAAATCGAAAAAGTAGAAATTGAGCAGACACATTGTTATATCACGTACTAGAGTCGTGCCATATGGAAGAAGATCATAGTTAAGATTATTACACAAGAATATATTCAAGCTTATGGCGCAAGACTATGGTGCAAGAATATTCAAGATTATTGCGTAGAGTATAGTCAAGATTATTGAGGAATATTACATGTATAAATAGATCGATTTTTATTGTTAAGAATAACTTTTTTGTTTGTAAATAAACAGTGGTCATACAGATCAGAAATCATTGGTGGTGGATAGTTGCTGTTTGAGACTTGCACATTTTCCATTTATAAAGCGATCGACGAGTCTAATTTTTCTTCCATTTGTGCAAATTCCGTTGGCGCTTGTGGATTTTTTCGCATTACTTCTTTTAGGCATCCGAATTATGCCAAATATGCCACCTTCAGTTGATCATTCATATCCGGATCCATTACGGCGAATAATTCCATCATATCTTTATAATAATGCATTACTGTTTCACCAGATCGTTGTTGACATGTTCCAACGTGTTTAATAGCTGTCCCTTGAGAAACTGATGATGAAAATGTCTTCCGTAGTTCGCGTACAAATGTCGACCAGTTACTCGTCGTTGTAATATTGTTACGTAGAGTCAATCTTGAATATTCTTGCGTAATAACCTTAACTATGATCTTCTTCCTTATGGCACGACTCTAGTACATGACATAACACACATCTACTTCTATCATACTTCTTCTTACATCCACCACTAGTATTGTATGATTAATTTAAGATCCCGAATGCAGAAAGAAAAATATAGTCGTATATTGAACACAGACTTTGTCACAAATATTCATGCTTAATGACGACTTATTCAAGTACCTTGATATACAAAAGATTTTCGATACTCATCACTTGCTCGCTTGTTTGAATCTCATACAAAATGATCAATTTAATGGCAATATTTTTATAGTTCTAGATTGCTTGATGTTTCAACAATGGTTCCTATGTTTACAAAGAGATTCAGAACTCTCATTTTTCTAGCTATTGATACATTATAGTGTATTTGTGTGTATTCTGTATGTGCAACCTTGACATCGCGTTATCAGTTCGAAAAATAAGGTAGAAAACACTTTCCTGACTCATTTTTCTAATCTCATATTTAAGAGAAAGAAAGTAACCTATATTAAATTCTCAAATGTTTGCGTTGTCCTGTTATCTCGCTTCATTTAAAACAGAGTAATTGCAGTCTGACAGAGTCTTTCAAAACGAACGGCTTGTTAACCATTTCTAGTTTAATACGAACTGAGACCAGTTCTAGATTAAAAGAACCAAACTGAAACTATTACACTCCTTGGCCAAATGGATGGTTTGTCGATAAGAAGTATTTATTTCCTTATAATAAAAAAATTTATCATATTGAAATAGATCCTATTCATTTCTCATTTTATAATCAAAACAAGTTACAATCCATTTCACACGTTAATGAAAGATAGTTTCATTATGTAGACTAAAATATTTTCTTGTTAAAGGAAATGTAATCATTTTTGACATCCGCTTTTCATAGTTTCGACAATATGATATAACAGGTGTACCATAATAAATGATACTCTCCGTATTTTCTATTTTTCTCTTCTTCCTTTAGACTTCAAGGGTTAATATTATTTTTAAAAGATGCGCCGTAAAATTCTCTATTAGAACATGTAAGAAGGTCTGGTTTATGATCGACACAATAAAATCTAGATGAAAAACTTTGAAAGGCGTCAAAACGATCAGATTTCCTTCGTTCAGCCCTTTTGCAATTGAAACAGCATCTTGTGACTCGTGAAAAACTCTCTCTTCCAGCTATACTTTAAATTTTTTGATGTCAAAACTCATCGCGGAATAGAAGTTACTCTTCAATTTTTAGGCATCTTTCAGTCAGAAATTTGGCTGCACTTAAACTTTTTCGTTCTCCGCGTTTCGTGCTTCCCATAAAACTCTTATACCTCGGACAAAAAAAATGAAGCATTTGGGTTTGGATGTGTTTTGTTCAGAAATGATTATTCTGTCTAAGCGCATAGCCGAGACGGGTATGCATTTTCGAATTTCTACAGTGCAGCAGAGATAATTGTCTTTTTTATCGGGAATTCGGTTCATGTACCATGCCATCAGCTCAGAGTTGTGTTCGGTCCGGCCGTTCTAAAAATATTTCCAGACCGGTAAAAACCGACGAATTCACCAATCAGGTAATAAAATTGATATTACGGACAAAATTTTGTTCTGAATACCTAGAGAAGTTTGGGAAGAGATTCACTATGTCAAATAACAAAGCCAATTAGGACGAATTTGCATCTCAGTTAGGAAGCTATGGTATCGGCATATCGAAAGTAAAAAATTGGATTAATATCAAAGAAAATAGATCAAAGCATATAAACGCCCAATACACAAGTGACAATGTTCCGATAAGATATTTTAAACACTAAATAGTGACTTTGTCTTTGAAAACAAATTGAAAGAATAAAAAAAATAGAATTTACACTTCAAATAAAATTGTCGCTCTTTCTTTTAAAAAGACTACTAAGCAGACATGCATAATGTCTTCCTGATAAAAAATTAACGAATATGCACAATTTTGTGGAACCGGCAAAAATCGATCGGTTCAACTGACTCAATCGGCCCGGTTACAACTCTGCATCAGCTTTAGAAAAATTTTCTTACCGACCATGAGAAAGAGCATATTCGATATCACAGAAAAAAACTTTTAGGATTTTCTAATTAATGTTAGACTATAAAAAAAAACTTTTTATTTAATGAGAGACAAGGTTATAAAGTTGAACGCTTTTTTTTCATCTAAGTTTTTTTGTGTTGATCATAAACTAAAACTTCTTACATGTTCTAATAGAGAATTTCATGGCACATCTTTTAAAAAAAACATTAACCCCAGAGACCTAAACGAGAGAAAAATATACGCATACGCTGCATATTATATATAGCTTCTATACAGCCAGCTTTCCAGCAATTTGACGGCCAATACATAGCACCCTCACCAGGATGTGAATATGGCTCATTGAGTATACGAACTCTTTTTTGTCAAAATGAGTTATACATTCGTTAAATTATCCATCCGTTCATTTAAAATATAAAAAGTTTACAGACTTTAAATCAGCTTGCATCTTTCGTTTTCTTTTGTTTATTTCATGCTTATATCGATCGATTTGTTTTCTATACTAGTATAAATTTCGTTTCTCTTCTCTTTCTCTTAAAGTTTCATTCAATAGAACGCTGTGTGATTTAAGTAGAAAATGATTTTTATATACACTATTGTTGGCGTGTTAGGTCTCTCTAGTGGTGAAGCCACCGGGAGAACTTGAGGGAGCTGAGCTCCCCCTAGGAAATTTTAGCTCCATTTGAAAGCTTTCAGAAAAATATTTTGTAGTACTATAGGCAGGTTTCGGACAATGAATATGGAGCTCAGCTCCCCTTGACCGAAATCCTGGCTCCGCCACTAGGCCTCTCATTGAAAAAATAAAATTGCATGATGAGACAAAAGATTGTTTTTTACTTCTTTAGAAACCATGGGTAACGACAACATGCCTCTAAACGGATAAAATACTGAACTACTCTAATGAATGACAAAAAACCTTCTTTATTAACCGACTTAGCTTCAGAAAAAGAAGAAAAAATACGACGACAACAAAGAACGTTTAGAGATGACACAAACCGAAATAGAATAAGCATCGAAAAATTGTTAAACATGAATACAAAACAATCAGCTATACATAAAAATGAAGGAAAAGACAAAAGTAGAACTTTATAGTGTTACAAAAAAAAGAATACAAAATCTCAATGTGTCCCACAATTCAGAAAATTTGTACACGTTTTTTTGTTTGAAAAAGAGATAAGGCTTTTCTATAAATCACACATATCTACTTCTGAAGTAAGTTAACGTTTACTTATTCTAAGAGTTCAGAGTAAAGAAAAGATCTCGCAAACTTGAATTATTTTTCATTACCAGTTGAACCTGGATTAGCACTTTGTTGTGCGGCTTGGGCTAATTGTTGATAATGCAACCACACAGCGGCATTGTATGCGCCATAATCTGCAACACCAGCTTGTTGAGGTTGCTGCTGTTGTTGTTGCTGTTGTTGTTGTTGTTGTTGTTGTTGCTGAACAGCTTGGGTCGCATACCAAGCGGCTAGTTGTTGCTGCTGTTGAGGAGTCTGGTTCTAAATAAAAGAGAATAAAAAATTAAAAAAAAATCCCCTTTTCTTAATATTTATTTATCGCTTACTGGTAACCTTAACTCCGCTCTTACAAAAAGAGGCAAACAGATAGATATTCATCTATATTACAGTCAGAAATTTTTTATATATCTACGAAATACTAAGGATGACATTCATTCTGAGCTACCCGTTAAATGTCTCTGTTGACTGAATCAACTTCAAATTTCAGCTTTTTTCATCGCATTTTTAGTGTTACCGTTTGTGTATTTTTTAAATATTGTGCCCACTGTTGCTGTAGAGCATTTTGTGTTGCTTGATTTGGGTCTTGTGTTTGAACTGTTTGTGGCTGCTGAGTTTGTGATGGCACTTGAGGTTGCTGATTCTGCGATTGCTGCCAAACATTGTACCTAAGAAAATAGACTGTATAATGATATTTCCGTATATAAATCATCTTTTCATTCGTGAATGAGTTGTGAACAATACTGAAAACTTTTAATTAATAATCGATCTCTTAGAGTTAAAAACAATGCTTACCATTGCATCCAAGACGATTGTTGATCATTGGCTTGAATATTAGCTGCCGAAGTATTTGTATTCGAAATTGATGCAACAGGTTGAACAGATTGTGGTTGTGGTTGTTGTGATTGGTTCTGGGATCGCGACTGATAATTTTGTTGTTGGTTTTCATTGTCTCTTCGATAATTACTGCTAGTATTGTTGTCATTGTTACTGAAATTAGAATTTCGCTGATTATAGTTGAGTGAAGCGGCATTATTCTCCGGATTATCAAAATCCAAATTTCGTCTTGATTGATTATAATTGCTATTGTTCTGTTGATAGTTTTGCTGACGATCATTATTATATCCGCCTCCCCGTCTGCTATCACTATTGTTATTATAGCCACCACGTTGGTTATTATTTCCTAAAAGGGTATGAAACGTAAATTATCTTAGATTTAATCTCTGAATCTCTCAGTAAACAATAGATAGATGTACTACTTCTTTTGTACATTATCTCATTCAAAAAAGAGTAATCAACAATGTATTTTTATTTTCTAAAGTCTTGCATATACAAAAACTGATTTGACATACCACGTCTGTTATTTCCATATCCACGATCATTATAATTATCACGAAAATTATCTCGTCCATCAAAATTCGATCCACCTCTACCACCACGATGGCTATTTCTATCTGGTTGATTGTGATAACCTCCTCGACCACGATCACCACTTCTAAAATTATCTTGACGGTCATTATATCTGCCACCGACACCACCAGATCTATTATTGTAATCATTTCTATTCGACGAACGACGACTATCATCACCTTAAGAAAAGAAAAACATCGCACTTGTACTTGAAATAACTACTTTTTATATTTTTCTTATAAAAAGTGTGTTCAAACGTCGTCGCCTAGATGGACGTATTCTTAAATTGAATGCTTCTAAATACATACTTCTGTAATTATCTCTCGAATCACGTTTTCTATCACGTGACCGATCTGATCTATCATTCGATCGACGATCTCTATCTTTGGACGAACGACTACCACTACGATTTGAACGTCGACTATGGTCATCATTTCTACTACGGTAAGAATCACCACCGCCACCTCGTCTTGATGAACGATCGGGACTTGAATGACGATAAGACGATGAACGGTGATCATCATAATCTTTTCTATATTTTTCGATTAGTATTTTGGCATCATCATAAGATAATTCTGGATAAAGTGTATCTTCTAACAATGAACCTTTTTGTGGTAAATGAAGTTTAGCTAAATAAATAAACATACAGTGAAAAAAATAATATTACTAACAAGAGATATTCGTTTTTCTGTTAAATTATTTATATTCAAGAAAGAAAGATTATTTTCCCAAAAAGTTAAAATCTTTCAAAATGATCTAAACTTAATTGATGATGAAATATTAACCTATTTGATTGTTATTCTATAATTTATTATTGGATAGTAAAAAAAAGTTCAAACTTAATTTTTATTTACCTTTCATTTCTGTAATAGCTTCTCTTGGTATAATGTCCGTTTTTTCTTCTGTTTGTGCTTTTTCTAAACGAATTTTATATTGTTCATCTTCAATGACTAGAACAACAATCGTTCTGTGATAACCATCAAATAATTTTTGTCGTTTCAATTGAATATCTCGTGATGTATTTACCTAAAAGATAAAGAAAGAGTATTAACATATGCAAGTGATATAAGTGTAAAAAAACTTACTTGATCGATAATATAATTTCTTCGTCGTTGTGCAGCCATTTCGATTAGTTTATGTAAACATGTACTTGTACGAGCCATGATTGCGTCATTTCGACTAGTGACTGACCGTGGTTTACCATTTACCTATAAATAATGAAATTGAAACAAATAAGCCACCGAATACAACATCGTTGATCAAGTAATAGGAACCATAAGCATTACTACTATAGCGTCGAAAAAAGGCAAACAAATACGTACCGACATTTTTTCCAATACACTTTCGATATTTAAAACATTAAAAATCTTCTCTTTATTATCCTGGATATATTGATTAACCCAATGTGTCTTTCCAACTGCATTTAAACCTACCATAATAAATAGTTCACAATCTTTTTTATCAACTATTGGTAATGGGCCACGGATACGTTCAATTAATGGAACTGATTGTACAAATACATAATCAGATTTAATCTCAGAGTAAGAAGTTTCCTTGAAACAAAAAGATGCATATAATCATGCTTTCATCTAATTTTACTCTTGAGACTTACCATTTGTCCAAAATTACATTCAAATTTTGCATTTTTAACCAAAATATGTGGAAAAAAGACTAATTGATGTTCATCATTTGAAAATAATTTTTTTTCTAATTCAAATGCAACTCCTTGATCTTCTCCATTTTTTGTAAATGAAATGTTTATTTTAGCTTCATTATCACCGTCGCCAAAATCACAATAACATCCAATAACATCATTTAAACCATATGTTTCACCGTAATTATCATTAATTGAATTATTACTCAATTTTTTAGCATCATAACTGTATGCGTAAGAATAGGGTATTTCACCTAACAAACAATAAATAAAAGAAAGAGAAATTTCTAACAAGAACATAAATAAATATTACCTAATTGTAATCCTGATAAACCAGGTATTCGATTAGACCAACCAATTCGAATGCCATGTCGTTCTTTTTCATCTTTTGGCAAGTTTGGACAATCAATTATTTCAGTTATCTAAAACGAACAAAATAATTGATTAACACAATAGACTATTATCAAAATGTTGATCGATTTACCTTGATTTCGAAACAAATTTTTCCCTGTTTAAAACCAAAGGTTGTACGTGTTCCAGCCCACATATAACAAAATGCATCAGATGAAACAGATGAAGCCGATAAACAATTATTATTCACACGTAAATTTAAATCGCATGTATCTAAAAATATATTGATAATTTTAAAAAAAATGTCAAAAAGTATTTTTATTTTAACTTACAAAAATCCAGTACAACATCGTTTTCATCAAACTGCACAGTTTCTTCAACTGGTATAGATACAGTTACATCGTAGTCTTCATCTCTAGAATAAAGAAGGAAAACAAATCATTAGCGATTTTATTTAACTTTTTAATAAATTCATATTCCTAAAACACATCAATTAAGGTTTTTTTTTTATTATCTTGCGTGCGTGTATAGTTCCAAATTGCAAAAACGGTATTCTCCAACCGTTCTATATTTCACTTCGACCTAAAAATCATTGATCATAGTTGTCTTTGCTTGTATTTTGTTTTCGATTGAGATGTCTCTATGTGTGTCTGCGTATATTATCAAAATATATATATATATACATATGTAGAGATTATCATTATTTAGTCATCTGATTTTGGTTTGCTAAATGCGTTAAATTTACTGAATAAGTCTTACCGATTTCAAGAATATAACATATAATTTATTGGATTTTAATAAATAACAACAATTGGACGACATCGACGACTACATGTATACATCTGCTACTGCTGCAAACAAACGCACACGTCAATGTTTATTATTTTTCTGTTATAATAAGAATACTATCATATTGTTTCTTATTCATGGAATATTTGTAGTTTATTACCAAACAATCATATTCAATTTACTTTTTTTCCACGATTATTCTTTATGTATCATTGAATTCGAGTTTCAATACGTTCTTAAATGCTTTTTGTTTAATAATAAACGTTTTTGATAATAACAGATCAACTTCAGAGCAAAACGAATGATTGATAGATAAACATATATGACATCTACCATTATTACATAGATTAATTTTAGAGATTTTCACAAAAGAGAAGGTAAAGGAGCTTTCATCGAATTTTAATAAGCGTTTCTCGCGGAAAGATGTTTTGGGAAAGTGGTATTAGGTAAAAATACTTTCTGTCAAATTTTCATTTTCCTTAGTCAATAAGAAAGTCGAACGATAAAAGACTCTTTAGTAAACAATATTACATCAAAGAGATTAAAATAAAAACATGACCTCGTTCGACCCATTAATTTAGTAGTTCTAGAATCTGATCTCCCATTGTCAACAACACAAGAGTTAAGAGAAAACGTTGATGAATTTGGTGGTAGGAATACAATTTTTTCTGATCAATGAAGACATGAGCAATCATATTTTAGATATCGACGTTGATTATATGAAACACAAACTTTGATAATTCTTTCTTTTCCTAATACAACATTTCTACATACTTTTCTGTTCTTCGATGGCGGCTGTAAGATGAATCGTTTTGTGTATCTTGTTTTGAATCCCGATCTCGATGATGATGATGATGTCTGTTTTCATGATATTGATCATTCTCCTCTTTTTCCATATCATCACTAGTCTGTTTTACGTTCTTATTCTTATTATCAGCAGAACTTACGTTCGTTGAAGAAAGAGACATACTATTCGATAATGTGTCAAACTGTTCATCTGTATGCGACATTGCTGCTGAGTATCCACCAGCAAGTGATTGTAATTCATCTAAAACACCACCTTCATTTTGTTTGGCATGTTCTGTTGATTTTGTTGTCTCCTCTTCTTCACCCCATCGACTTTTTTTCTTTCGTCTTTGTTTTGATGTGTCATCTATTGTAACTGTAGCTGCCGCAGTGTCATCTACAGTACTCAAATGTTGTTGCTGCTCCTGCTGCTGTGATTCAATTCCATTGTCTTCCTCCTCGCCTTGTTTGTTTGTTATTGAATCATCTGAATCACGTTTTCTTTTTGTTTGTATTAATTGCTCACTTTGTCCTATCATTGTAGCGTTTGTCACTTTTATATCATCAACAGATTGTACTTCATCATCAGATTCGACTTCTCCCTCTTCCTCATCAGCTTTTTGCACACTTTCTGTAGCTTGATTTGATTGTGAGTCTTGATCATCTTGTTCGTCATTAAATGTGGCTGTTACGTGTTGATTATTCTCTGTTTGTTCCTCTTCATCGTCATTTTCATCGCTTGTATGTGGCTGAACACTTTCACTGTTGTCTTCGACATCCTGAACAAGAAATACTGATTTTGTTATTATAATGTCGTGCGAAGAAAAACGACGAAAACTCCTCAGCTTTGCTGTAATTTCGTAATTACTATACAACGATCATTTCATTTGATGAACTTACACTTGTCTGCAACGATGTTTCATTTTTTTCCATAGCTGCATCATGATCTTCACTATTGTCCGGGTCTAAAAGCATCACTTCAATGAATGATCGAAAAGACAATAACAAGCAAGAAAAAAATTGTTCACCTTTGTTAAGCAACGCTTCTCGTAGACGAATAATTAAATCTGCTTTTCGTCCTTTGGTATCAAGACCAAGTTTTCTCAATTCTGTCTGTAATTCAGACACCTTCATTGAATCTAAATCTTCTGTAGGTAACATGCTTTTAATCTAAAAGTATAAACATGGAAAAAGGTATAGTTATTCTATTGGAGTAAAAAAACAACACAATATCATGAGAGATGGAAGCAAAACATAAGATAGGATAAATCTACAAGATTTAATGTACAGACACTGTGTTGTGGTTCTTTTTTATTAAAAAAGATAATTACTCTTCATAGTGTATTCAAACAAAACACCAGAAGGGAAATATGATATTCAGTGTTTCTAATGATAAACTGTATACAGCTAAATACACTGTTTTTTTTCCAGCGAACTGGCGATGAGTCGTTCTCAAACTAAGTGACTCGTCATGGTATAAATAAAGATGGTATTGCCTGATGAATCTTGCTTTTAATTTGATTTGTATATTTCTTTGCAGATAAAAATGTTTGTATTACTGACTTCTGATTCATTACGCTTAACAGCGATCCCGATCAAGAGAGGCAGGGGGTACCAGCCCCTCTCTGAAATTTCTAACTTTCCGTAAAAATTTTTGTTTTGACTTTTCGCCGCTGCTACAATTTAAAATGTAGCAGCGGCATAAAAAACTACTTTTTATGTCAACTTTTCTGTGCTAATCTACCGCATAGACGTACAAATCCGAGTATGGTCTCTTTTATATTACCTGAAATTTGTTTTTCTTCCTGAAGTATTTCACGTCTGACTCTTTATTTTATCGAAACGAAAAGTGAAGTAACCTCAGATAAAATCATTCTACCTTCGCCCCATTACTTTCCGTAAGATATTTTTATAAGCTTTCCGCTACAATTATAGTCCCCCCCCTGGCCAAAAAACAATCGGAATGTCTGACGCTTAAATAGATGAACAACTAATTTGCTGCACACCAATACTTCAAATGATAAAGTGTATAACACTTTGTACACTCTGAAAAAAATTCTCATTAGAAACACTGATAATATTTAAGAGCCACGTAAAGCAATTAACACCATTAAAATTAGTGATAAAAAGAATTATTTTCGATACGAGGTAGTTCCGTTATTTGTAGAAATGCTTAGCTGAAATGTGGGATGAAACTATTTAAAAAATACCTTAAAATTCTTTTTTTATAAAAGCGCAACATATAAGGTATTAGATCAGTGTTCTAAGCAAGCAGAGAACGCGTTGGATATAATCCTTTCAAGAACCGTTTGGCTTGAAAGAACGATGGAATAATACGAAAAAGCCAATGCGTTATTATCAATTAAAAGATATAATTGTCAAGATGGATTTGAATAATAATTTAATGTGGCATTCATTATAGATTTCTTTGTCCTCTTTTTGTTCTAGAAATGGTCGAATTGCAGCTTATTAGAAAGAAAACAGATGCGCTATCTATAAACTTCAGATGTCGCTGATATTCACTGCTTTATTTGTACCGCCCACTACCCATTGAAAGGCTCGGGTACCACAAAAATCACAGTTATTCAGCCAAAGTTCACGAGAAGGAATGCATCCCATCTCATGTCGTTCACATTGACCGTTATGCACTTTTACTAAAAAGATCATTTTTTTGTTTATTTTTAGCTACCAAATACCACAGAATAACTGGATATTTTATACATTTTTAGTTTTATTCCAACAACAGAATTATATATTATCCTGAAAAATGCACTGTTATACTAAAAATTCCATAAAACTTCTGAACTATTTCGATTGTGTTTTCCAGTGTGTATATTTGCTATAAAATGTGTCAACGTAAATGTAGTATATGACACAAAGAAAATTTCATAAAGTTCATAGATTAATAAAAAGTAGGGCTCATGCTCGTTGCATTTTTCTACGGGCTATCCAGTTATTCAGCAACAAAATTCTCTACTCCATGATTTTGTCGGTTGATTACTTTCTGCAATTAAAACGCCAGACAATAGAATGACACCTTCTGATTTTCCACCTTGTTGGCAAAGCTGAAAGCAAAGGTCCGATTGAACTCTAATTTCTATCACAGATACGACAGGCTCTACCTCAGATTTTAAAGTTCTTTCACAAAAAATATCCTTTTCTTCTCAAATTATTTGAAAAATGCTGAAAACTCTATGAGAAGATCAGTCTTTGATTATGAAATTAAAACGTTTCAAAAAAATGTAGACCCTGATATAGAGTTTGAGAACTTGCTCGAGTAAATGATTTTTTAGAGGGGTTAAAACTTGGATTTTTGATAAAATATGATGTGACTACTCCAGCTGAAACAAATTCGCTCATGAGAAAAATACAGACATGTTGCAAAAATACCGTGAACGGTGTAGTAAACAGCTTGTTCTCCATATTCGTTTTATTTTGTTTGATTCTTGTAGTTTTCTTTAAAAATATTTGTGTCTATTTTGTTTATATTGTTAAATGAACGGCTTTGAAAATACCAGTAGAATAAACTGCATGTGATATCTTTCTCTCTTTTTCGTTCTTTCGCTCGTAAGAAAGATCTTCTCATTACTTGCTTGGTAGAAAAAAGTCACAAGCGTTTGTGGGAATAAAAATTTTGCTTGTTCAAGAAAAAACTGCCTGATACTCTCCTACTTTTCTTCCTGATTTGTTAGAAAAAATCGCCTGATCAACTGCTGATTTTTTACGGAAAATTCCTGATTTTGAAAAATTGAATTTGGTCACCCATAGACTGTCTGACATAAATCAATAGAATTTCTTGTCTCATTTTTTGTTCTCTCCTCTTTTGTGATCCATTTTTCATGAAACATCAGTCATATTGTGAAGACAAATGAAATATCCAGACAGTTTAGCGAATTTCATCGTATAGCATCAACCTCACCATCAACTCTCGGTAAGCAATCACTGATTAATTTATTGAGTATATAAGAGAACTTGTGAAATATACATGACAGAAAAACAGAATGAAAACAGAATTAACTATGTGGCAAAGTTATTTTATTATACCGTTGAATCAAAGTTGATTGACTACCATTTTTCTGTAGTGGTTATAATTACTCCAGATGGAGGAATTATAATCAGTTAAGAGAAATGTACTGAAAATTGAGTGGCACTAATTAACGATAATGAATTTTCAGACAATTTTTACCTCAGTGGATAGATAAAAGCCATATGTATCTACCTGTGTAATATCATTTTTCTCCGAGTAAAAATGGTTTAACCAATCGTAAAATACTGAGAAAAAGTTGAAGCCTAGTTATAGTTACCCCAAGCTACTCTATCAAATACAGAATCTTTCCCTTTTTTGGAAAATGTTTAATATACTTGGACAAGGGATGGAAAAAACATTGGAAAGGTCTGTTCTCTTACTTATATACTAAAGTAACATGTCATACAGTATATACTACTACATCATATATACTACCACTTTTTTCCTCCTCTTGTTGAAGTACATCATATCAAGAAAGAAAAAGGTAGATATACCTTATTTGGTGCGGTTCTAATACTAACTTGATTAGAAAGAAGAAAGTACGCAGAAAAAGAGAAATAAAGTGTTACCATTAAATAACACAGAAAGGTTAAAAACTGAACGTTTTGTCGAACTCTCCCGATTAGTCCAATTGCTGCAATAGAACAATAATATAGCGCGCTGTGACTAGTGCAAAAAATCCTTTTACTAGCGAGCCTCCAAAATCCTTCACAGAAAATAAACAAGAATTTTTTTCAAAAGAAAATCAACAAACCTAGCAGGGGAAAACACTATCCTCTCTCTAATCGGGAAGGTATACCGACATTTGGACGCACGTCATTTGGGCGTAACGACATTTGAGATACAAAGACGCCGGTGTGGATGTGGGTGATTATCGATCAAAATTAAACAAAAAGTGATTACGGTTGGATATGAGTAATATAAAAAAAGCTCTCACACCGTACCAAGTTTGTTTAAAAAAATTTTATCGTTATGCATCATACTTTAACAAATGCACTCTTACTGAATGCTTTTGTTGTACATGCGCCCGTTTTCCGACAGATAAGATGAATGATGATGAATTTTGACGGACTTTGAAAGTCCATAACCAGACTTAAGTCTGCTTTTTCCCCCTTGGACAAAACACATTCGATTCTGCGCAAATATATCTTCAGCGATAGTTATCATTTAAGAAAAAGAATATCGTCTGCGCTTTTATTAGATATGATTGAAATCAGTTCCAGCTACGCTTGTACATAAATGCCGACGGACCAATTGATGAATCTGATGAACTAATTATCATCGACTTTGCTAACTTCTCACGCAAAGACTCTCTCTCTCTCTCTCTTTCATAGCACTATCTTTTAGTTAATTCAACGGATAGAACACTGTTCAGTACAAAATTTGAAAAACATGCATATTTCTATTTGAATAGTTACAAGCTGAACAGTATCTGACACACAGTTTACATGAACAAAAAAAACAAACAAAACATGATTAACAAAAGAAAATCGTTAAACAACTCATTTTTGTTTAACATCCATCTGGACGCCTGCTGTGCCTCTCTCTTTAATTGCAAGACTTTAGATTTAAATATTTTTTTGCTCTTTTCACATAGAAATGGAATATAAACCATGCAAAAAGTCAATGTGTTTTCCGACAGATAAGATAAAAAATTTTTTAAAAAAGCTGTTTTTAATCTAAATCCACAACGAAATTAATTTTAACATGAAATCTGTCACTTTTCGTTAACCAATACTCATCTTCTTCAAACTTCGCTCTTAATAAAGTTGAATTGTTGCCGTCTAACTGTATACTGCTGATTCGCAATTGAAAATGTTCTAGTTTTGTTAATGAGCAGGTAATAAGCTTCTTCCAAACATCTCCATCAAAATATTTCATTTCTTTTGCAGATACACTACCGCGGACGGATAACGTACCTAAATTAGGCATCATTTTTAGTGCACACTCAATTTCATAGAACGGAACACGAGAAATAAGTATGCGGAAACATGATAGATTCTTGAAGGATCTAATGGGGTATAAATTATCATCCAAGCTAAACAAATGGCGTTTTATCGAATGCCAGCACCGAGGCATGTTTCTTGCAAAATAAGAATCCACTGATATATCATTCCACTGCACTATCTGCTGACAAATGCTTGAAAAGCTATGGCTGAAATACTGATGTCGTTTACCATGAGGTATATTAGTTGTATCCAGATGGAGGCAAAGCGATTCATCTTTAATAATATTGTCCAATCGCTGATTTAGATTTTTGAATGCCCCATACAAATGATAGGCGTCAATCTGTTCAAATATCAGCATTAGTAACTCACTTGGGAGATCTTCAAATTTAGTAACACGTACAGACATGATCAACACTGGCTTTAATTTTCATATGCACGTGGTAACGTAAAAATGTGTAAAACAAAATAAATTTCGTATATTCGTGTATTCTTATTGTCATATGTAACATGCAACATGTTCTTTGTGTGAAAGGCTGATTTATTTGGGCGCTTGTTTTTATTATTTGTGTGCTTTTCTTCGTCGCTTTATGAAGACCTGCCACTTCCCCTCACTTACCTTTACTTTTTTTCTTGCATGAAAGAAATATGCTGGTTTTTTGTTTACGATCTTTCTTTTACTTGCAAAGGCGAAAGTAACAAGTCTGCATATATCCTTTCTCACTTCAACATCATGCTACAAGCTTTAACTTTTTAATTTGTTTTGTTTATTAGAAAAATTGTTCATTTCATTCAAATCAAGTAAAGGCTAATGGTAAGATAACATAACTAGATAGTCTAACTCTGTTTTCGTCGAAATAATTACGTAATCAAAATGGGAGAAGACTCTCTTTTTTTCAAACGGTCTTTTCTTCAAATTCTCAGTTATTATATTACTGATATATTTTATAGCAGGAATTGAGGAAGATGACACTACGTCGTCGTTTTCAAGGACAGATGATGAAATTGACTCTATTTGGATTATTGATTTTTGTTTTTTTCTCAATGTTTATAGTCAAATAGGCATCAACGAGAAGAAGATACGAATATAATATACAATAATGTAAGGAATCAAAAGAAAAACAGACGCAACTGAACTAGTTTATGGGTGAATGGATAAGAAAAACTACCAATCACATTACAGTGTTCACACTGTTATCAGGGAGGCGCTAACAGTAGTAGCGTAGCCCACATATGTGAAAAAAACATTTAAAAACCTAGTGGCCAAAAACGTAGCTGGCGCTGGATTCGGTTTGCGGTATATCGACTCGAGTCAAGCCTGAGTGAGCTAGCGTGTGAGCGCGAGTCGACTAGCTAACTCGACCACCTCTGGAGGGGAGGCTAAACGATTACTTTTGAATACTATGGGTAGGTAGAGGATCAAAGACCTTAAAAAAATGATTACATAATATTCGAACAGCTTCAGGCCACTGCCAGACTTCGTTAAGCTTCGAAATCATCGAATATGATGATTCTGATGGGTTTTGGACAGATTGAAGCAATAAAAGTTGGTGGGACGATTTCAAGTCTTATGTAAAGTTGGACTTTGTTTGTTATACCAAATGATTATATTTATCTGAACGGAGGTCGTACAAAAAATACGAATCGAAGACCTTTTTATTTCTCATCATACAATTTAAAAAAGATACAAAAAAACCGAGAATCATAAAGGAAAAAAGAAATTTACCTTTGTAACAATGTTCGTTTCGAACTCCATTCATCATCATCGGCGTTACTTGGGTTATTATTGTCTTTAGGTTCCGGCGAGTCTTTCATACTTTCAATCTTCTTTTTTCTATCATAAAATGGTACTCGACCTTTCATTAATGTTAACGAATGAATGGCATCGGCTGCAGATACCCGAAGTGTTCGACTGTAGCCCCTAAATAATCAAAGAAACAAGCGGCATTACTTTTACGCAAAAGCACTACCATCTCGGAAATAATAAATGAAAATAGAATCTTAGATGGATGAACACGTGTAGAACACAAATGCGAAAGACTAGATTTGAAATAATCTGAACTCATCTCAACAAGATATTGCGTCTTAGAATAGGTTGATCTCGGCACCTCTCTTACATATGGTTTCGGAAAGTAACTTATAAAAAAATAATTTCTCACTGTGTTCTTGGTTCTAATTTCACAACATTTTTGTATAATTTTATTTCTTGATCATTTTCATCTGATCCATTTCCAAGATAACATCGTTTATTATCAGAATCTAATTGCAAAACATAAGTCGTATTATAATCAATCTCATGTAATGGATATCCTCTATCATGACAAACCAATGTTAAATTATCAATTGGCATCAATTTTGATGGTTTACACTGTTCTGTTTGCCATAAAAAATGTGTTTCATTTAAATTAAGTTTGTTTATCATATCAATTAACATTTGATCTTCTGTTTCTTTCGTCACATTAGTTAATATTGGCCACCATGGTTCCTTCATCTCATTCAGCATTACTCTCATCTCTTGAAGAAATTGAGCTAACGTTGACGAATTCAAATTAGAACAATTAAATATAATAAATTCTTGTAGACGATGAGCTTTTAAATAATTCCATGTGGCCAACGCTGTTAAATCGGATGATTTCAAAAATTGATAAATAGTTGAAAAACCAGAATAAATTCCAAAATTTTTTTTACTAGATGCTTTGAAGACTGTTTGCAATTCTGATTGGTTAGATTTATTATTTGTACTTGTGACTTGTTGTTTTGCACGTCGTGCTAAACGTGATCCAATCGAACGTAAATAAACAAGACGTTCAGTCTTTGTTGCCATTGCTTCCAATTTTTCATAGAGTTGATCGTATAAAACAAACTCTTTTGGTAAATGACCACGTTGTTGATAATAAGCAACTTCAGCATCAAACTTTTTAATTACTAAACTTAAAAGTAAACCAAAAGTTCAAAAAAAAGGTCAGCTCCGAAAAAAGATAATAAGATACCTGCTGGTGAAATTTTTGATGACACTTTTTCAGAGGGACTGATATTTGGACTAGTGACATTAATTGCACGATTAACAATCAAAACTAAACAATAAAAATAAATTAGTTTAATATGCAGAATGTTTTTGATTTCTATTATATATTTACTCATTTACCTGGTGTCCGCAACCTATTGGTGAATGGATTTAACTTTTGAAACATATGAGATGAAGCTGATAATCTAAAAAATAACAGGAGCATTATGCCACCAAAGATACATATTACATTACATTCAGCGAAAGTATACTTTCCAATGGAGTGGAACAAGATGTTATATTTAATTGAAAGAAAATCAACTGAAAATATAATCAATCTGACAAAACCAAGGGAGAAAAAGCAGACTTTGGAATTTTGGACTTTTATGAATTTTGACGAACTTTGAAAGTCCATAACTAGACTTAAGTCTGCTTTTTCCCCCTTGGACAAAACACATTCGATTCTGCGCAAATATATCTTCATCGATAGTTATCATTTAAGAAAAAAGACTATCGTCTGCGCTTTTATTAGATATGATTGAAATCAGTTCCAGCTACGCTTGTACATAAATGCCGACTGACTAATTGATGAATCTGATGAACTAATTATCATCAATAGGTGTGTATCAGTTTCAGCTCATAAGTTCAGCTCAACTGAGCGAAAGAACTGATCAAACAGCTCTTTTGATTGGAGCTGATCTTTCGAACAGTTCTTGAACAGCTGAGCTGTTCAAACAGCTCTTTTCAAACGAACTAATCAGATCCAACAACTCTTGTTCATGAACTGAACTTTTTGAGCAGCTCTTTTCCAAAGAGCTGATCTGATTGAACAACTCTCTTTCAGAATCTGATTGACATTAGGTCAAAAATGCTTTCCGGAAATTTCCTTCAGCTCTTTGGAGAAGAGTTCTTCAAAAAGTTCAGTCGTGAACAAGAGCTGTTGGATCAGGTCAGTTCGTTTGAAAAGAGCTGTTTGAACAGCTCAGCTTGTACGAAAAGAGCTGTTCAAAGAGCTCAGCTCATATCGATGAACGTTGGTTCCAACAGTTCTTTAGCTCGGAGCTAAGAGCTGAACTGTTACACCCCTAATCATCAACTTTGCTAACTTCTCATGCAAAGACTCTCTCTCTCTCTCATAGCACTATCTTTTAGTTAATTCAACGGATAGAACACTGTTCAGTACAAAATTTGAAAAACATGCATATTTCTATTTGAATAGTTACAAGCTGAACAGTATCTGACACACAGTTTACATGAACAAAAAAAACAAACAAAACATGATTAACAAAAGAAAATCGTTAAACAACTCATTTTTGTTTCATTGTTTGTAGGGTTCTAAATAAATTCCATACAAATATTAATACACACAAAATCAATAGATTAATAAACAAGTTAAAATCACCAACAAGATTAATAAAGAAATAAATCAACAATAATAATATTAATGTTCGATAATCTGTAAAATGACGAAAATTAATTTTTGCATCATCAATCGATGTACCATAAAATATTTGTCGACTATATGTACCAAGAAAATCTTTTCGTGCATATAACGAACGTATATAATCACCATATCTTAAATTAATATTTTCCGATAATCTTTGATTAAACCATAATAGAGGTTTTAATTCAAATTGATTTGGTTCGGCTGTTTCCGGATTTTGCTCGTAATACATCATTGGTCGTAATTGTTCGGGTTTAACATTAAAGAATTTTTGTTGTGTAGATGAAGTTAGTTGTTTGTTATCAGTCGTCGAATCAACTATTGAAGATTCAAATGAATTTAAATCAATCTAATTGAGAAGAAGAAAAAAACAATCATTTTAATATTATAGAGTATAAAAGAATACAAAAATAAATTTACTTGAAACAAATCTGCAAATTTTTGTTTCACCGTTATCAACTGTTGAATAATATCATTCGATATAATTGTTCCAATTCCTGTTGATGATGGTGCAGTTTTTGGTTGATATATTTTGTGAACTACTTTCATAATAGAATTTGTTACACTCGTTGTTTTCGATGCTCGTTCTTTTGCAAGTTTTTGTTGTTCTTCTATTCTTATCGCATTTGTTTCAATAGCTGAATGAATTTTTCTTAAACAACTAACCATCAATGTTTTTGTATCATCTGATAATAGGGAATAATCGGAATTTTGTCTTGTCAAGGTTGTTTTCATGTATGATGCAGAAGAATTTGGTGATAAATGAAATGGATTCATGAATAATTTTCGTTGTGGAGATGTTTCAGGACTAGAAGGAGATGAGAAACGATCCGCTTTTGTAATAATTGATGAAAAATTTTTTGATGAAAAAACATTAGCTAATTTTGTTAGTAATTGTGCAATAAGTGAATTTGTCATGTCTGTTTTTTGAAGACGATCAATAACTAATTGAAATAAACGACCATAAAATAGATAATTTTTTTCAATAAATGATAGATATTCTTGACTTATTTGAGATTCTTGTTGTTGATTATCCTGTTGATCAATTGTTGTCGTATCAGCTAAACCAGTTAATTGTTCAAAACGCCATGGGCGAATATAAGTGTACCAAATATACAATAGTGTGTTAAATCGTGAATCTAGCAAAAAAAAGAGAAATAGAAAGGAGACATTCTAATGTTATTTATACGTTAAACATACCTAATGGACATCGTACAATTCCGATTTGTATTAAATTGTATAATGGACGACGAACATACAAATCAATACATGAATTTTTTAAACCTTGTAGTGGATATAATGTTGTTCGTTGTTGAACAGGAGACATGCTATTGTTTGTTTTAGATAAATTTGAATAACAAAATAAATGTAAACGTTTTATAAACATTCGAATTGATAACAAATGAACATCGGACAAATTAAATTCCTAAAAGAATAAATTGAAATCATTAAAATTAAAAAAAAATTTAAAAGAAGAAAGAAAACAGGTAACACAAAAATCATGTATTTCTCCATCAGTTTGTTTTCGTATTGGAAACTTTTTCTATCCTTTCTTTTAATAACGAAAAATACTAATAGATGACTCATGGAAGGCTGACCACACAATAACAATAATTCAAACCTTCTTCTGGTGAAATATATGAACATACAATAAAAAATGCTCAAAAAAACAGATTCTTTCTCATACTAGCTCAAAAGTTAGAGTGATAAACGTACTTGGACAATTATCGATCGAAAACTTGAACTTTGAGGTGGATATAGATCAATTAGAAATTCTACGTAAGCTTTAATAAAATAATCAATTTTTCTAATTTGTTCATTGACATCCGTTGTCGATAGTTGTGGTGATGTTTGAAAGGGATCCATGGATGGTGGTGATTGCTGTGGTGATCTTTTTGAACCAATATTTCCAAATAAATAGGATTGTGGTTGAACACGTGGTTTTTGCAATACGGGTGATGATAGAATTGGTATTGTTGTTTTTATGTGATGTTTTGTTGATAATAAATGAAATTCTTGAACATCAATTGGTAAAAACAGACATAAATAGGCTTCTAATACAGATAAATAAACGCTATCAAGACGAAATTGAGCTTGTATTGATTGATCACAGACGGGATAATTTAATAAATGAAATAGAAAATATTCAATTGGGTCTAATAAAATTGACGAATCAGATTGATTTAGACGCCCTTTAAACAGATCCAGTGATGTTAACAATTTTGAACGTATGTGTGAAGGTAAATCGTGAATCGAATATTGAAAACGAATTTGATGATGTGAATCATCCGATAAACGTTGTAACGTTTTCCATAGAATTCCAGTTGGACATAAAAAATCGTAGATATTTGAATACAATTGTCGACGATCAAGACCAATATCTTTTAGAAACCAATCAAGCCGGGTGTAACCAAATACACGACGAAGAATATAAGGTAGTTCACTATATAAGTCTTGAGTAGACATTCGCGGTAGGGCAGTAAGCATTTGTGAAAATGATGCATCTTCAACAGAATACATCTGAAAAGAAACAATAACTATTCACTACTAATAGTTTATTCAGTGAATATCAAAATAATATACTAACAAAATGTCTTGATCAAGGAAAATGTGCACTAAATAATGAAGATTTTCATAGGAAGGTGCAGAAAACTTTAGAAGGTAATAGTCACAAAAAGGACTATAAGGATGATTATACAGGAACATTTGTAGAATTGTATATGATTCCTTAAGAATCGATCAGTTCAAGTTTTTGAAAGTCATAATAAACAGTTTACTGTAAAAAAATCCCGAACAGCTTCTACATACAATTTGTTTCGCAAAAGAGGAGAGCTGATATGATATCTGAGAAAAATCACAGTATATTTATAACCCAAAATCGTCTTTAACTTTATCGAAATCAAAAAACATCTCAGAAAATGTGATGGTGATTTAAATAGTCTACTAAAACAATATATCCAAGTATACACATCCCTCTTGTGCATTCGATTTGGATGGATAAAGAAAAGAAGTTGGTATGTGAATCTTTTATAACGGAGTAAAAGATTATCTACTTTACTACTGAGAACTGAAGACGGCGGAAGCATCTCATTAACGAATAGCCTGAAATGGTACAATTGCCTTACATGATGGTGGAAGCTGAAAATCATGCTTTGCTATCTAAGGTTAATCACACACTTTATCACGGATGAAGTGTGTTTTGATCATGCTCCAATGCAAGTTTGGCATACTTGAAGTGTGTTTTTTCGTGAGAGTGATTCTATATAAGGTTTTCTTTTATGAGACGAGAATGATAAATGTACTGACCAAATTTGTGTTCCGAACTTATCTCTTCTATAACATCTGTGGTGATTTTAACAAAAAATTCTTTGTGTTTTACCTATTGAAAGAAAAAACCTGGGCAGATTTTCTAGTACATTTATGAAACTTTCGTCGAGATTCATCGTCTCTTCCGAAAGAAATGAATCGGATAATCTGAACGAGTTTTGTATATAATACGAAAAGATGTATATTTTTTTAAATCTGTTGCGCTGTAAATGCGACTTCTTTCATCTTCTGTTTGATGTAAGTTTGATTAATGATCGTAGGTCAAGGTGAATATCATGCACTGTCCCATATGAATTAGAGAGACAATGCTTGTGTAATTCGAAATATTTCGCGCGAGATAAGGTGGGGATTTGACGCATTATTACTCGTCAGTGAATGAAAAAGAATGAACGACATCCATTCTTTATTGGGATGGCTCTATAGAAAAAAACAAGTGCAATCATATCTGTTGATTTATTTTTCCTTAATGGTTGATAGTGCCGTGATAGATTAAAAGGGACAGTCAGAAATCTAACTAAAGCCCTTAGCATTTATGCAATTCCATGACGACAGAAAGTTTCAATCGGATAACACACGTAAGTTCTTTCTTCTTTTTTGTGACAAGACAAGTTATAACTTATTGAAATTTATTGGTCTTTGATTAGCCAATCCTTGATTAGACGATATATACCCAGCTTTTAATTACATGGTAAATTTGAAAATAGAAACTTCCGTGATTTTTTTATCCACTTTTCTCTGAATTATATATAAAAGTGCGTTCCATTATTGAGTAAGGTGCATGGAGTATACAATCATGACTGACAGCTTCCGTGTTGAAAAGCCCGTGATTACATACTCCGCAGATCTTACTCAATGACGGAACGAACTTTTGTATGTGATTCAGAGAAAAGCAGATAAAAAAATCACGTACATTTCTATTTTTTGAAATTTATAGTGTGATGGTCTACAATTAAATATCATACGATAGGCGAGACAGTTAGGCGTAAGTCGCTAGTATCGACGTGAATTTGATTATGCAGTCTTACCAGTTAGCTTATCTTGCCACGTCTATCACCTTGAACAGTTGAAAAACCGGAAACATTCAGAATATATACATGGACTATCAACAATATACAATTAGGCATTTGGTATGCGGTAGACAAATTGAAATATTCATAATGTACAATCTTCTGTTTGTGTCAATCGGTGAAACGAGCTCTCATTAGTCTTGAGTATGAGACAGGTAATGATACTAGAGTTCAATTAAGACTAATTTAAGCCAATCACACATGTAGTGTAATACAATGATGATTATATCAACTATTAAACAATTCAATATTTCTTCAAATATTCTATTTTTTCGCTGAATAGCAAAGAGAAAGTAACAAACACTCATTTTTAACTTATACTAAAAAATAAAACAAATTTAAAATAATAAAAGAAAAAAAACCAACTGAATATAAATAATTTTGAGATTTCATTTACACACAGCATGTGTTAGTACACGAATTAGAAAATAATCAAACAAACATACACACGCACACACTGTTTGAAGTTTGAAATAAGTTAAAAGCCAAATATTTACACAGTTTTGTTATTCACAAACAATATTTAATATATTCTATGATGAGTAAGCTCGAAACTTCTCATATAATAAGATAAAAATATATGTAAAAACGGAATAAGAAAGCAAGAAGGAATGGTAACGAAGATTTGTTCAAAAATTATTATTCATAAACAAAAGATGATTTCTGGAATTTGTCCATCATCGATATTTGAGCCATTATTTTCACCTGACGCATAGGCAAAATGAAATGTTACTTTACCATCAGCACTACATTCATGTGTAATCTTTCGAAGTCCATTAATACCATAAAACGAATCGGGACCCTAAAATGAAATGGACATAAAATTAACACTCGTTCAACTCAATTTGCTCGTTTTTCGAATCAAATAATTTTTCTTGATCAAATGTCACATTTACTTTTAGTTTTGCACTAGCAACATAATATTCGTGTGGTTGAATTTCTAATGGTTCTTTAAATAAAACTCGAAATGTTGATGTTGAACCATCCGACATGAACACACTTTCATTCTGACCAATAATAATTCCACTTTCTGAATGTAGCAACTAAAATAAAAACAGATCATCGTTACCAAATTTGTTTTACAATCGCTTTTGTGTCACAAAAACTCCTAAGCCTTGGAAACTTGAACTGATTCTAGCACGCTACTATCTCTCTATAATTGTTATCCCATCTACATTGAGAATATATACATGGAACGTCAATAAAATACTTTGATGATTCAATTTGTAGCGGCGATCACTCATTCTCGAATTGATCCGTCATCCTGACATATCTAACAGGACTTAAACTGCCGGTTATTGTGATGAGCTTTTACACAAGTTAAAGCTAATTAAAAAGTTTCGTTGTGAGTACCAAAAGATAGAAAATTTTGTTTGAATTTTATTCTTATATTCCTTTTTTAAGATAAATATTTCCTCACTGTTTGTAACAAAAAAATATTGGAAGGCACCAAAAATTGAATTATTTAAACAGAAGGTCAGAAAATTTTCAAACTAACTATTTAGCTGCTTAAGTTTAGTTCGAAAATTTGGTTCTAGTGATAAAAAATAGAGAATTTTCCCGTGTATCTGATAGTATATTTGTTCTTCAGAGGAGACACCTTAGATCAAGGTGATGGCACTTTCGATTCATGCTCTTCTCAAAAGTGTGACTTCGAAAAATAATTTTTTTGTATACAAAAATATCTCTACAAAATATCTAATCTAAATTCAGACAAAATTTTCTATCTTTTGGTATCTACAACGAAACGTTTTAAGCAGCTTTAACTTGGACAAAACTCATCACAAAAACCAATAGTTTTATCAGGACATCCCGTTAGAGAAAAGAGAAACATATTCTCAAAAATTCTTATGAGTCGAAGCTGTAAAACAAATTTATTTAAATTCAAACCAATTTGAGTTTTAAAATTAAAATCATATAATTCTTCTTATTTGAAGTAAATGAGATGATATTTTTGTACCTGTATGTTTACTTCATATTCATAGGGTTCTCGAATACTTCCATAGAGGCCAAAACCAGCTATGGATATTCGTCTATCAACTTTAAATCGAATACGATCACTTGTTCCAGAGTACGACCATCGATTTTCAACTTCACAAAAACGATTTACTGAATATTCTTTTCCTGTATTCCTGGGCTCATCGTCAAAATCGATTTTATAACCACTTGGTAAATTATAATATAAAAATATCTGAATTATTTCTTTATCTAAAAGTGACAATAGATTATAAGAAATCATTGATATTGATGAAAAACAAAAATTGACATTTTTATGATATTGAGCATGATAAAATGTTTTAAACGATATATGATTTTGAAAAGTTAGTTCTATATAAGAATTTAACCACTATTATTTTCAGAATCGTATACCATCTTACCACTTAGTATTCCTGATTGAGCTGGTCCACTGGCAAACTCTTCCTGTGACATTAATGGAAATCGAATTAATTTTAATCCTTGTCCCAAAGTATTTCGAACATTTTCAGCTGTTGATTCTAATTTATTTTTTGAACATTGATGTTTTGCCCATTGAATTACAGAATTGTATAATTTAATCTCTCTTATTCCAAGTGTGTCACGTTTTAATATTGCACATAATGTATCTAAATCAAGATCATAAAATTCTGATGTTGTTAACGCATCATTAGCATTTTTATCAATAACATCTAAACATTGTGCGGCTAATTGTGGCTCATCGAACATACGAGCTTGAATTAATAATATCAATGCATTTTCTAAACTTATATTTTTTTTCAAAAAATCAACACATAATCGTTCCAATCCGAGTACACAATACTTTTTTGCTGCATACAATATTGCCTAAAGAAAAACAATAGCATGATTGTGTAGCGTGCACTTTTCTTCAAACTAAATTTACCATAACATTATCATCATTGATTGAAACATGATCAGAATATAAAAATCTTAATAAATTTTTGAATGCAATTGGCTCTATATCCGGTACTTCGATTTTATCATTATTGCTGGCAGTTTGCTCATTGTTTAATGATAACGGCCGATTAAACATTGCTTCAAACACACAACTACCCACACATAAAACAAATTTATGTGCTGGTAATTGTTCGATCGGTGTTGGTGGCAATGTTGTAGAAGATCCCACGATAAAATGAACGTCTGACATGTATTCATTTAGACACAATGTGCTAATTCGATCGTTTAGCGATACTTTCAAGGACTAAAGAAAATATTTCCAATGCAAAACAAAAAAAATTGAACTTTCTATTTGTACTTACTTGCCAGTTAAATGGTAAATTGGCAACAGCATGCTGTTCACATTCATATGCTACACAAGATCGTTCATTAGCTGAAGGTGTGGTCTGATGACCACTATTCGATGGTAATGATAATGTCACATTAGCAGCATTTTTACGTAATTGTTGTTGTGGTTGTAACGTTGTTGTTGCTGACGTACGTTTAGGCATGAGAACGGAGACGTCTCAGCATATTGCCATATATTTTTCAACTAATGTCATCTAAAATAAAGAAATGCTTCTTATCAAGCACAACCAGAAATGATAAAACAGGGTCAGCATTTTTACTGAGATTTTTAAGCAAAGTGCCACTTTTCACGTTTCTGTAAAGTGAACAAAGTGGTTTCAATACAATTTTTCAACAAGCAATGTGTGTGAAACAAACTTCAGGTTGCGTTAGACGTAGTTTAAAACAAAACAAAGAGCAACGACAAAGAGAATAAGCTAAGCGTTAATTCGATGTTGACTAAATGATTTTCGGATACACTGATTTCTTTTCTCGGACGATAGCTCGGATACACAGATAGGCAGTTGTTATTGTGTCTCTCTATGCTTATTTAGCGAGGGACTGTGTCAAGTGGGATCAGTCATCATGTTTAAATTAAAGCGGATCAGAAAAAAACAAAGTGATTCTCTTCATTTTTGGAGTAAAAATCTTTAATGTTCTTACACTAAGCTAATTTGTTTTTGTTGTTGTTTTTATTTTTATTTATTTATTATCATTACTTCACATCTAATCACATCATACACCAATAAAAAAATGGAATCGCACTAAGGGAACAAGATAAATTATGGATCATCGTTATTGGCTGTCAGTGATTTAATGTATTAATGCAATGTACTGAATGTGGTTGCCAGCAATATAGTTAATCCTTTCATTAATGGAAAGTATACGTTATAAAAACGTTTAAGTGCTTTTAAAAAGGTTTATCAATGTCGTAATTGAATAAATTATTTTCGCTGATTTTTTCATAGGGATAATTGATTGATGTGCTCAGAGTACATCAAGTAAATCTCAGAGTAAAATTTTGGTGCAGACAGATTTTGGAAGATCGTCTTCTACCAAACCCGCCCTGTAATAGAAGACCATCTCTAAAAAATTTTAGAGTGTGCTTCTATCTAAAAAATCTCACTTGTAGTAAGACAATAAGTCGGATTCCATGTTGCCGCATAAATGCGTCTATTTTGAAGACATCCAATGTGAGCTTCGTGGGAAGACGCATTGTACCGTCTTTTTAGAAGGCACATCATATACACTGGAAAGATACAGTGATGACATACAAGAGACGCTTATTATATGTAAGATACTTTTTTCCTGTAGACACGCCAATGAAGTCTCTTAGCTTGTTTTTTTTTAGAGTGTAGTATTGGTAGAAATTTTTCTGGGAAAAGTCATAAAACGGAAAGAATTGGATGAATTATGCTTCCGACCGCAGCTTCTTTTCAAACAAGAGCCTGATGATAAAGTACATTTACGTATGCAGAAGAGTGAATGACATAGTCATTGTACGATTTTGAAAAAAAATTATCTAAGAGAAAAGGTGAATGGCACAGTTAGCAATTTCACAAAACGTTACGGACTTACGTAAAAGTTGACTCTACTGTATCTGCACACAAAAAGGTTTTTTAACAAAATATTTTACCACTTGTAGCTTTATGAATAAATTGTACCAGCTCTCGAACTATTTCAGACAGTTTCGGTGAAATTTCTTAAAATGTTTAAATTGGAGATGTGAGGAGCAGAAAGCCGGATCGAGAGAAATTTTCATGGATCAGTCCCAGAAAACCTTATTAAAATTTCAGATCTTTTTTGAAAAAATGCAAAATTCTCCTTAGTAATTCGAGTTTCTTTTTTCAGTAAAAACGGCAGATTTTCCGCCAAAACAAAACTTTTGAAAAAGCACTTTTACCACGAAAAAACTATTTCAACCCATGGTGTCGCTCATCTCTACTTTAAATAATTCGAAAATAGAGATGAGGGAAACTAATGTCGACTCCGGTGCTATAGACCGCAACTGAATCTTGAAATTTTTAGTTTCTGTTGTATGAAACTAGTAGAGAATATAGATGCAAGGAGTTATCTTCACCTGGTATTTATGTTGAAAGTGGCTCATGGTAGGCTTTGTTTTATGCTAACTTCATACAAGCTTAGTTTCAATAATTTCGTCTGTGGCATATATTAGAACTTTCTCTATAAAGTAATGGACGTTACCAAAAGTACAGTTTTGGGACAAGTAAGCTGTATAGATGTGTAAGAGGATTGAGAGTTTTTCTGTCACTGAGCAATCTTTTTTTTCGAGTATTAGCTGATTTGAATGTAAAAGATAAAATTTACCGTTATTTAACTCTGGACGAAAGAATATTTCCACTTATAAAAAATTGATTGGTCTTATAAAAATGTAATACAAAGTGCGTATAACAAAATATTCCAGAAGAATAAATAAGGTTTTATTCAGAGTAAATCATCATAAAACGATGTTTGAAAAATATACATATATTTTTCCAATATACGCACCAGTTAAGTAAAAGAAAGAAAGAAAGCAATTTATAAACAAACATGGGTATTTAACGACCGGTTTGCTTGAATAAAGTGAATATAAAGTTGATTGACGTAGGGATCAATACATCAATAGTATATATTGAATAAATTCGCCAAAAGTAGGAGTGGCAGATTATTTTGATCAGTAAAAAGTATGAATAGTTCAAGAATGCTGAAATGCTAGAAATGATAACGCTAGAGGTGATAGATAGGAGATATTGAAAAAAAGGAAAACATGAGTTCATTTACATCACTACGAAAAGCATATCGGTCGACCTGAATAAAACTTCTCGATGGATATCGTGCGTCAAATTTTAAATTTCAATTTGTCTATTGAAGTAACTTGGAGTGGGGGTAGTACGGAAAAAGTTGAATTAAGGTATTCAAGTATCACTTATGACATGTTATCAATCACATTCACCCAATAAATCAAACTAATTGCTAAGTAAATATAATAGCATTGACGATACAGTCATCCGGGTATAAAATTGAAACCGACAAAGATGAATAGAATAATTATTCAAAACACTATTTAACGAGAATTGATTTGTATTTTTGACGATAACATGATTTTTCATCTTTTCAGCAAACACGTACCTGTTGTAACTTGAGTATTTTATTTCCTCTTCTGATAGTCTATTATATCAATCGTCAACACAAATGGAGCAAGATAAGTTATCTCCCAGTAAAGAAGTTCAGCATTTGTCTTTTCAGAGAAGACAAACACTAAATTCTCTGTTAGAAGTCGTAGGCTCGTCTCCCGTTGACCAGTAAGTATCTAAGCCTTTTGTGTGTACGCTTTGAGACAAAATGGTCTTGTTTTGTTCATGCGCCTTACAAATGTTTTCAAAGATAAAACAAAGTCTTTCCTTTGGCATATGAAATCTTTGGCTGAAACTTTCGATGAGACAAGTTATTCATCCTCAACATCTTGATCTAATAATTCTTCAATTAGTCTTCATGAGACACCCACAGTGCAACATCACAAGTACGAGTTACCATTATTGTTTATGTTTGATATCCTTGATATTTTACCGTTGTGATTCCATTTATTAGCATATCTGAATTTCTGATAAAGCTCAAAATAAGTCGATAAAATCAAATGGATTATAAGAAAATAGTCAGATATACAATTTCAATATATATAGCGGGCAAAACATACGTGTCTGAAAGAAAACTGCCGTATACAAAATTCTGTCGTTTTCACGTGTCAGAAACATTTAAATGTAATTCAATCTTTACCATCACAAACTGCGTAGCTTTTGTAACTTCTTCTAATAATTAATTGCAGTACGACAGTCTCAGGTATAAAAAAAGTGACTTCATTTTCATCAGATGCGCAGGCATTTGTAACTGAAGCCATAACGAACGTTCTTCAATCTCTGTGTAGCGTAAAGACAAGAGATAGACTCTCGTTTGGTTGCTAAGCAAAGCGTAAAAACATCGTACAATTTAAGATGAGTAATAGGAATTTTCTTTTATGAAATCAATATATAAACAACGATTAGAAATTCTTTTAACCTATTTAATATCATCTAATCGTTTATATTAGCTATATGTCTTCTTGCTAATGATTCTTTCTCGTTTCTTTTCATATTTTCTTCGACAATATCTGCTAGACTTTCTATAATGTGTACAATTAATTTTCTTGCCGATTTTGCTTCATCACGATTTTTTTCACTACATGACACGAGTGCTTCTAACCAATCGATCGAAAAAGATAAATCCGATGGTTCGATTGTCTCATTATGAATCAGTTTCAATTTTGTATTTATTTTATCTAGAGTATTTTCGGTTTTATTTTGTGAGTCTAACAAATGCGTATTTAATACTTGCTTCGTTCGTTTCGATAATTCTTCACGTTTCTTTTGATTTCGAAGTATTTTTTCTTGTCGACGTTGTTTAATATATTCATCATTAGCCAACGACACACTATTAATCATAATACCAACAAGAATGTTTGTAACAACATAGTAACCGATGAAAACCACAATCGAGAAAAACCATCGAGATATTTTTGGTGAACCTTGTGAATCTAATTCGTCACTCAAAGTATTCCAGTTATCTACAAATATTAAACGCATAGAGATTGTTAATGAATTTGAAAACTGATGCCATGGACTAGAAGAAAACAACAACATGTAATTTCTTGAGAATACACGTGTATAACAACTGACCTCTGCTCCGGTTTCCCATATAATATTTGTCCGATAACTGCCACAACATAGATACATAAAAATATGAGCATTGTAACACTAAACGTGTAAGTGATGACTGTTTTAGTGAGAGCACTGGCTAATACTTGTAAACCTTCTGATAATGTAATAACACGATAAAATCTTAATAATTGCAAAAATCTTAGACCTTTTAGTATATTACGGATTGTTACACTTTGATCTGATATAAAAGTTGAAATAACTTCAGCGACAGCTGCCAAGATAACTAAGAAATCATAAATATTAAGCCAATTTAGCCAATAATTGGCTTGTTCCAAATAGATTTTCAAACAAAATTCAACAAACAATAGTCCAATAAAAAATTCATCTAATGCATAAATAATATCCTTAAATATTAATAAACATATTTTTTATTTAATTAATTGTAATTGAGACTTAAGATTTATACTTGTCTTAATTTATCATTTTTATATTCTTCTTCTGTTTCTAAACTCAATCCTAGTGTAATACTACTTGAGAAGACAACAACGGCCATAACATATTCATAAGATTGATGATAAATTATTTTTTTTAATGTATCTTGACCAGGTTTTTCATTGGGCACAAATCGAACTTTATCTTCATCTTTTGTTGTTAGATTTGTACTTGTTTCTTCTTCATCAAGATCAAGATAATCGTCGATTAATAATTCTTTTAATCCTCGACGATAAATTGTATTTGACGACATTTTTGATGAATGTATTTGACTTTGTTCACATTATAATGAATTTTACCGCCATGATACTAGAGAACTCCTTAAGATTACGTCTCAGAAGAGATACAATATATATTCTCATAAGAGAGACAAATCCATATTTTTCATTGTAGCTGTTTTGAGAAACAAATATTTTGGTAAGAAACTGTGTGAGATATACATTATCTCTCGTTTCTATATTCTAAATAAAAATGAAATTAAATATGATGTAGAAACAATCTTAACTTATTGTTATAATATAAATTTATCGTAAGCGGTAATTAGTACTTTGATGAATGAAATTTAAAGCAAACTTCATAAGCAATCCAAAAGTCTATAACTAGTTCAAGGATTCAGCAATATTCATAATAAATTATTAAAGTTAATAGGTTATTACTTTAAGAAATTATATTGCATGCCCGAGATATCCTATTGACAAATGGAATCATTTAATTTAATAGAAGAAAGATCACGTACAAATAATCATGTTGAAGGGTATGATCGTCAATTGAATGCATAAGTGTTGTTTTCTATTCCGTATATTATACAATTTTCATGGTCTGTTTCTATTTTCAGACATGCTGGAATTCATCCACACATCTGAACTGGATGATGAATGTTCAGAAAGCAGAAGAACTATCAGCTATACGTGTTGAACAAGAAAATGAGTAGAAAAAGAAGAAAACAAGCTGTTGATCACGACAGAGTAAGTTGGGGTAATTCTGGACGGCCTCTTTAATTTTTACAGTATTTTGAGTGCGCCTGAAGCATTTTTACTCGGGAAAAAACGACGCTTCACAGGTAGATAGACCGGACATTTCTCTGTCTACTAATGTCAAAATCTCGTTAAAGTTTAATAAGATTAATTAGTGCTCATCGATTTTCAGAGAGCTCCTAACAAATGTCCATAATTACCCTGTGTGGGGTAATTGTGTGTCTCGTTGAGGTAACTCTGGACAGTCCAGCAAAAATGACTGGAAGAAAGTAAAAGAACTTTTTTTCTGTCTATCCCGTACGATTTGCACGAACTGTCCAGTATTACCCCATGAGAAATAGCTGAGTGTCTATAATTATTCCAAACAAAAAAAATAAAAAACCCGACAGTGTCCTTTTATTTTCGCAATTTCTAATTAGTTAATCAGGGATACGTCTGAAGGACTAGCAATTTACAAGGTAGATAGAGCTCAAAATTCCCTACAAGATGGTATGGGTTTTAATTAGATAGTTAAAACTTTACCGTTGAAAAATAGTTCATTTACTTTCTTCCAACCATTTTTGCTGGACTGTCCAAAGTTACCTCAACGAGACACATTGATCGTCCATAATTACCCATGTGGGGTAATTATGAACATTTGCTAGGAGCTCTCTGAAAATTGATGAATACTAATTAATCTTATTAAACTTTAACGAGATTTTGACATTAGTAGACAGAGAAATGTCCGGTCTATCTACCTGTGAAGCGTCGTTTTTTCCCGAGTAAAAATGCTTCAGACACACTCAAAATACTGTAAAAATTAAAGAGGCTGTCCAGAATTTCCCCAACTTACTCTATTTATTTAGTTTCTGTCAGACAAGCATTGCTAACGAGGGAAGATCCCCAAATGTTACTTTCACTTTACAAAGGGACATATCCTGATTTGTAGAGCCTGACGAGCTGATTACGACGGAATAAAGTATTTTCCCCCGTGGCTCTTCAACTCCCGGTTTTCTGGAAAATCAGTTTTTCAGAAACTCTAAAAAATAACCAAAACTTTTCTGAACGAGGCATAATTGTAGCACGCACATCTCTGATTAAAATGAGACATAATCAGTTTGTCGAGCTCTACAAATTAGGATATGTTCCATTGAAAAGTGAGAGTAACGCTTGGAGACCTTCCCCTCGTAAGTGAAGAAATAGACTTAGTAAAATATCAAAGACTTTGTCGTCATTTTGGATACAATTATTTGGAAGTGTTTAAGAAAACTCGTAATTTGGATATTAGTATAGATGAGAATGAAGACAACGAAGATTAAAATTAACTTTTTTTTGAAAATAATGTTTTTTTAAATTTCATTCATGAAAGTGCTAATTACCGCTTAATATAAGCTCTGTTGTTTCTCTCTTATATTTAATTTTATTTTTATTTAGAATATAGAAATGAGGGATAATGTGTCTCTTCTGAGAAACGCAATTTCTTGTCAAAATATTCGTTTCTCAAAAGAGATACTTCTTAATTAATTAAAAGAGGTACATTAAAAAGTGTGAATTTGTCTCTCTTTTGAGAATATATATTGTATCTCTTGTGAGATGCTTTGCTCATTATCACCAGAAAGACTAATTTTCAGTTTTCTTGTTTTAGAGTGTATAAGTTGTATATTAATTAAAAAAATATTTATAAAAATGAGATACATATATTTACAAGCTACTACAAGAACAACAAAAACAAGCATAAAATTCGAGTTTATTTTCAATTCTCATGTAAAATAAAAAATTTATCTTTGCTGAAAATCTAAAGTTTAATTGAATATATTTTTTGGAGACGAATGAAAGTTTACCATGATGTAACAGTAATTTTTTTTTTCGAAAGAATTATGATATATATATTTCAAAAAAATAACAACAGCTATACATCGTCGTCTTTGTATTTAGGTAGAATTGTAAACGGATAGATTTTTGCTAAAGGTTGTCGATCATCTTCACTAAATCTATCCGTTTTTTCATTTTCCCTTTCTTTCTCATTTTCTGACGAACGTCTTAACTGTTCAATTCTCTTACGTAAATCAACTGTTTGAAACTTTTCTCTTCGATAAACATTTCCTTTTTGACCACAATTTAATGCTACCATATCACAAATAAATGTTGCTAAACCTAATACACCGATCATCGAGCCAATATTTAATGTTAATGTTAAAAAATTAAATTTACCGGCTTGACCTGTTACCGTTATTATAAATCTTAATCCAAATGCTTTTGTTAATGTTCGATATGATTGATAATACGTTTTATTATAATATTTCCAATGTGACGCAAAACGAAAATTAAATCCAAAACTAAATTGTTCTACACGATAACGAGAATCGAGACGACCTAATGTATATTTAGGTATGCATTCGCTCAACGGTCTATCTAAATTACAGTTCCAATCGATTTTAATTCGAATTACTCCACCGTATGCTAACATTTTTTGTCGTTCATCGGCGTCTGTTTCAACTATTTCTAATATATTTTTCACTCTAAATATTGGACATAGATCATCAGTAAGAGAATTCCATATACAATATTTTGAATATGTTGCATCACGCAAAATATTACTACGTGTTATATTAAACTTTGGAAATTCAATAAAATTTTTAATAAAAATTGTAAAATTTAATACGTCTCTAATAGCTTCGGGTCGAACTAAGTCATTTTCTACGGGACACCATCCTTCCAATTCACATAGACCCATTGATAAAGATGAACTATTGTCAACTATTGATGAACTATTCTTTGATTTTCGACAAATACCTGTCCACCTTCCATTTCTTTTTATAGTATCAGAATCTTTCATACAATTATCATTTGATAAACATTTTGCACCATCAACAGTAATTCCCTCAGTACATTTTGCCCGTTGCTGATCGGTTCTAATATAATTTGTCATGATAAATAACGCACTATTTTCTTGTGATGGTATAATATAATCCGCATTATCCATTATTGATGTTACAGGTTTTTCATCATAACCGGTACCAATACCTTTAACTTTTAATATTACTGAACTTATTATCGATTGATCTACTTGTTGATATCCTTTTTGATATCCCAATACATACAGAATAGTATAGAGTAATATTAGAATTTGAACAATACGACATGTTATCGCTATTGACCAACTATGAATGGCGACAATTTTTGGAGCTAAAATTAAACAAGAAACTATTATTATTATAGAGAAACATTTAAAATTTATAATGAACCCAAATTTAAAATTAACCCTGTACACCCGTCCGTTCCTTATAAGAGATATTGATGTGATAAAATTAATAAAAAGAATGAATCATCAGCCCAAAAGATAAGCTTTTTTTTCTAATATAAGACAATAAATAATCTTACGTTTGATTGAAATAAACAGACAAATTTTACATTTTAATGTAGGATGACATTTCAGTTGAAGCTATAATAAAGGTGTTTTCGGGTGTAAAAGGTTAATAAGAAGAACAAAAAACAGAAAAATATAGTTATTTTCTTGTTTATTTTATACATACTTTCGTATTCTGTCACAAAAGCACGTAGAACAGATTTGATATTATTAGTATTGAATAATTGTTTAAATAGATTACGTTTTTTCTCAATATTCTTGTTAGATGATGAACGCCGCATTTTATTTTAAAAAATATTTTTCCAACGACAATGTGGATAAATTTTCATATTTTTTATTAGTTATCATTAATTAGTCTATAGTCTAAAGAATAAAACAAAATGAGAGAGAAATATTGAACTTAGAATATTATAAGATTTCATAAGATCTTTACAAAAAAATCTTGCGATAAAAACATTTGTATGAACTTACAAGAATTTATAAGACTACATAATTTAATAAAATTTTAAAATAAACAATTTTTTCTTCTTCTTCCATTGAACTATATTAGTCAGACAGAGTTTTTCGTCTTTTTTTTAGGACGATAATTGTTTTTGATCCTGTAAAAAATGCAGAATGGATCCCGTATACTAAAATTTCGATAAAAATAGTAGAAATGATCTCGGATTTAGAAAAAAAATATTTTCGACAGAATTGATCCCGGTTGATGTGTGTAGTGGTCACATAAGATCCTCTTTCCCAAAGCTCTTCGCTGATTTCTATATACTATATTCAATTCATAATCGCATAGCGGATATTTTCAGTACTGTGAACATTTATATGTAATTGATAAACTACCAATGAATTGTTCAGTTCGATTTTTGCAAACAGCTTGAGTTTTGATAAAACTTAATAAATCAGTTTCGTTTACACACGTAAAAACTAATAGCCATGTCTTTCGAGCCATAGTTTGTTTAATAGTGATAGTAATAGTCAAAAGTAATGTGAGTGAAAAAAGTATGAAAA